GCCGAAGACCTCCCAGGAGCAGACCTGCACTGGTTCTCGAAGAACGGGGACTACGACATGGCGGGCCAGACGCTGCGCGTGGCCGCTGGCGCTCAGCGGCCACGCGACCGCCAGTTCCCGACGGGCGCTGAAGGGCAGCAACAGTGCCCGCGGCGCCGCAAATCGCCAAAGACGTTGCGGCATCGCATGCGGGTGCGTGAGCACAACAAAGATCATGGGGATGACTCCCTAGCCGCCTCCCTCGTGTCGCGAGCTTCAGCGAATTCTGATATGAATCCTGGCCCGTGGCTCAGAGCCCCCCCCCCCCCCCGACCGACCGCGCCCACCCCGAGTTCGTGGGCCAACCTGAAGCCGAGGGAATGAAGCCCCTAGGCACGACGTCCCTGATTGTGTTGTCTTCCGTCGGCTCCGAGGCCTTGGTGGTTTTCGGGAACGGCTCTGGAGGGTGCTTTTGCCCCTGGCCCTCGTCGCCGAAATTGTGGCGCGGCTTGTGTGGTGGTCAGGACTATCCCAGGGGCGTCGCAATGGGAGGTGGCCGGGGGAGTTTCTGGAATTTTAACTGGCAAGCCTCAAACTGTCCCGTGCCCCGAGCTCCTGTCTTTCGCGCTGCGCCTTGAGGGCGCGAGGGGCTCCGTTCAACATGTTGCTGGCCATTTTCCCCTTGCAACTGGGTGGGGGCGGGGTCGGGCCAGTGCGGCGGGGGGTTGGGGATGGGATTTGTGGCTCCGGACTGCGCTCGTCTCGCGCGGAGAGGGGCAGGTCACTCTTGAATGGGCGGCCTCTCGCCTGGACCTCGAGGCTGAGGGGCTGTCCGACCATCAGATCTTCCTCAGGGTAAGAAATCGCATGGCTGACATAGTGGCCTCAGAAGCCGCGGAGCGTTCTTGGGTGTTTCCGGCCCGTTCCGATCCCAGGGCCGGCTTTTGGGACGCGCAGGCCGCCCTACTTCGGCGTCGGGCTCGCCGCGCCTTGATCGACTCGTCCCTGGCCAATCCCAGGAAGGCTCGGCCCGCGGTTTCATCCTTGAAGAGAGCGAGGCAAGGGTCGAAACTCGATCGAGCGCTCCGCGCGTCGCCGCACAGATTCGCGACGCACGGCAGCTCCTTTCGCTGCAGAGTTTGCGAGGTGCTTTGTGATAAGGATGACTCCTCTTAGCAGTCTCCAAGTCCCCTTGCGTCTCCTGGCGCGGCCTTGCGTCCTTCGCACAAGCCGGCGTTCTGGGATTTGCACAGCTTGTATGTTTGCCAGGTTTGTGGCCGCGCGGCTACTTCGGATGGGCGCCAGCTGGTGCCCGCACGCCTTGCGCCCTCAAGGAGGGCCCCCCAAACCTGGGCAGGATTCGCCGCGGATTGTTTCCGAGCTACGCAGGGCCGCCCAAGGCGAGTTCCCTGCCGCGCCACGCTCGCGTCGCGGCCGCGGCCGATCAGCAGGCGCGAGAGCGCGGGTGTACCGTTTGAGGCTGGGCGCTCTGTGCTCGCTGCCCCCTCATGCCCCTTCTGCGCGACTTTGCTTGCCGGAGCGTCCAAAGCGCCCCCCCCCTCGCCCTCCTCCTCTTCTGATCTTCTGATCCCACAAAGAGAAAGCCCCGCTCGGAGCCGGACTGACCTAGCCTGCTGCCGGGCGGGGCCCATGCCTCCACGGCTCCGGGGCCCGACGCAATTTCCTCCTTATCAGGCATGCGTTGGGCGCTTCGCCGAACGAGCCCCGAGGGGGGGGGGTGGCCCGGAACGCGTTGGACTCGGGCCCCCTGCCAGACAACAGACGCCCCGGCGATCGAGCCAGACGGGCTACCGACCGCGGACGAGACGAGGACGGGCGGCAGGGTCGGCCAAGGCCGCGCGCCTGCCGACGCGCGTAGGCCCCGCAGACTTCACGGAACACGATGGTCTTCCAAGAGCCCCTCCAAGGACGCCCCGCCCCCGATCCACGCGGACCACGCACTGCCTATGGGATCGCAGCAGGCCCGGGCATTCCTGGGCAGCGCGGGCGCGCCATCCTGGATCGAAGCTCCTTTCTAACCCCGCAAGTACTACAGCCCCAGGCCCTACCCGAGCGCCAAAACCGAGTGCCCCTTCACGCCAGACACGAGAACGACCGACTGTAGGGAGGGCCGAGTGGAAATGGGGGCTCCGATCAGGCCAACTCACGGACGCGAGCACTTTCAGCGCAGCCCCGTGGTGAGCGGCAACCAATTCCGCGGCGCGGGTGGTCGCTCTCACCTGGGCCGCCTTCTCGTCCGCAGCGTCGTAGGAATGGTGCAACTTCGGGCCCTCCTTGGCCAGGGCATCCGCATGTCGGCTGCTGCGGTGCCCGGCCCACGGACCACCTGCCGCCTCCGCCGCAGCCCAACTGGCGTGGGCCCGCGTCCAGCGGAGGCCGAAGCGCTATGCGCCAGGGTCTCTGACGCGCGCCCAGACCTCGCGCCGCGCGTCCACGCGCGGCGAGCCCGCTGCCACGCGCCGCTCTTCTCCTCGATCGAAGTCCTCCACCAGCCGAATGCAGTCCGTGACCGCGTCGACCTTGGGGCCCTTCTCCTGCGGCACCCTCAGCGGCGCATAGAGCTCGGCGCAGCCACTCCCCTGCGCTGGCCCAAGCACGCTGCCGCGCATGCCTCTTCCAAGGGCCCCGCCGGGGGCCGCCGTGACGCAGGCGCAGCCGCTCCACGTGCGCTCGCTCCACTCTGGGAACATCGCTAGGTCGTCGATGCAGACCGCCCCGTGGACCAGGTCTTCTCGCAGCACGCCTCCTAGTGGGCGCGCCCCCAGCCGCGCTGGCCTCGGGAGTAATTCTAGCCCCAGGCTGACCGGGCATCTGGCCATGCCTACGTCGTTCTCGTCGATCGCCGCACCTGCTCTCCTGACCTCCTGCAGGTCCAGCCTCGCTGCGACGTCGGCATTGCCGTCGCAGCGGAAGATTCGGCGCTTTGCCGCCCCAGGGCCCGCGCCGCGCAACGCACGCAGAAGGCTCAATGCTGCTCTCTCGCGGTACAGGTCCGCCTGGGTCACCAGGCCTCCGCAGTCCAGCGACTCGAACAGCCCCCCTCCCTCGTGCAAAGCGGCGAGCGCCTGTCGGGCGACGCGGGGCGTCGGCGGCCCGTGGGGCCCCCCTGCCAGGCGCCCCTGCCGCAGCCTCCTCATCAGCGCACTCTGAATCCCCAGCTCGAGGACCAGCCTCGCGCGATTGGGGCTGGCGTTCTTGATTGAGGTCGACCAAACCCCCTCAATCAGCGACCCAAGTCCTTCAATCAACGGCCTCCCACCCGATCCTCACGAAGGCGAGCTTGACCGCGTTCGCAGGCCCGCGCACCCGACCGCAAGACTCGGGCTGCGCCGCGTGGGCGGCCGTCTCCAGGCTCGCGTCGCCGCGCGCCCCCAGGAACACCACCTTGCCCCAGGCTTCCGGGAGGCTGTTGGCCGCGTAAGCGGGATCCAGCTTCCAGCCCTGGTATGGCTGCAGCGCAAACTGCAGCGTCCTGCTCGTGCTGCCCACGACTCCCGCCAGCGCCTGGCGTCGATTGCCCTCGTCTTCTCCAGCACCGCCGTCGGCGCGAAGACCGCCATGGCGCCGTGGAGGACGGGGGCCAGGCCTCCGCATCAGAAGACGCTGCCCAGTCTGGCCCGCGCGTGTCGGAGCGCCAAACAGCGCGAGGACCTGACCGCCAGCCCCGCCATTCTGCTGCGCAAGACGGACGACGACGACCTGGGCTTCATGCCGAAGTCGACCCCGATGTTCTTAACAACGCGTCGCAACCTGAAGTCCCACTTCCGCAAGCGGTGGACCGCGCTCTTTCCTGCTCCTTCGTCGCTGCTCACCACGCTCCCTGTGGCCCGGGACACTTTGAATCCCAGAGCCTCGATCCTCTGGCAGAGATCTCTGGTCGCTACGAAGGCCGTGAACTCTGCCTCCCTCAGCTTCCCGCGCATCGCCAACGTGATGTCGTCCACGACCGCACCGACTGCCACGTCGCCATCACTCCGCCCATCGTAGAGAGGAGGACGACCCGAAGGATAGTCGCGGCGTGCCCGCAGCCTGCCACGATAGAACTGCCGAGCCGCATCTCCTCCGACTTCCATCGGCTGAGGCAATGGCGCCTCGGCCCCCAATAGCTGCGGGGGATCAGCTTCAGGCATCCGAGCATGTGTCGACGAGCCTCAGCGACCGAGCCCTCGTGGGTGATCCGCTCGTGCGCCTTCGCCAGGTCGGTGATCGTCGCCACCGAATGCTGGCCCATCGCGGCCGCCACGTTCGCGTCGTGGGACTGGATCCAGACCGTGTCCTCGCAGGAGCGCCCAGCCTCGCCGAAGAAGTAGTTGCACTTGTGGACAGCCTCCCACTCGACCGCGTCGATCCTGCGAATCCTCCCCCGCAGGCGGGTGAGGCTGCTGAGGAGCCCAATAGGCCCCCAGCCTCCGTCGGTCTCCGCCAGGGAGGACACAAATATCATGTCCACCTGCTCTGGCAGCCTGCGGGTCGCCTGCACCACAAGCAGGAGCAGCCCCACCTCCTCCAGGCCCCCGTCGCTGACATGCCCGAGGTCTTGTGGTTTCACCGCATCGGCGCCCAGGGCCGTCGACCACCTTGAAGGCCCTCAACCTCCGCTGATCTCCTCCGCCGTCGGCGCACGGCCTAGCTCCTGCAGGTGGTCGTAGGGAAGGGCGGTGTCGAGGGCCATCGGCATGATCTCGCCGTGCTGCCAGATCTCCTGGCGTTCGGCTACCAGGCTGTCGAAAGTGGCTGACTCCTCCTCCTCCTCCTCCTCCTCCTCCTGCTCCTCCTGCTCCTGCTCCTGCTCCTGCTCCTGCTCCTGCTCCTGCTCCTGCTCCTCCTCCTCCTCCTCCTCCTCCTCCTCCTCCTCCTCCTCCTCGTAATCCTCCTCGTAGTCCTCCTCGTAATCCTCCTCGTAATCCTCCTAGTAATCCTCCTCATAATCCTCCTTGTAATCCTCTGCCTCAATTGCGCGCCCCCCTAACAAACGGGCGTGCGGAGGAGCCGGGCAGGTCCTGCCGCGGGCTCCACTCACACGAGAAGTCGTCGAAGCTGGGCAGGCCGGGCCGCCGCATCGACCTCGAGGCCCCACGCCCTCCTCCTCCTGCTCCTCCTCCTCCCTTTCCTCCCTCCTGCTCCTCCTCCTCCTCCTGCTCCTCCTCCTCCTCCTCCGCCTCCTCCTTCTCCTCTTCCTCCGCCCCCGGCGCCCAGCAACCGCCGACTGCGAGCCGCCGACGACAGCCCAAACCCGACGCCCGCCCCCCCCCGTCCGCCTTGTCGTGCCTGTTTGTTCTGCGCGGCCCCTGCCGCTCCCCTCCGTCCTCCATGTTCTCGACGTGTGTCCTCATTTCCCTATTCCTCCTCCGCCTCCTGCACCTCCTCCTCCTCCTTCTCCTCTGCGCGCTGCCAGGCTTCGATCTCGGAACCCCAGGCCCTTTGCGCACTCAGGGAAATAGGGTTATCGTGCTGCCACGAGGAGCGCCATCGTGCTGCCACAACCTGCCTCTGGAAGCCCTCGCTGGGCCGCCAAACCATCAAATTAACGACTCAGAATGAACGGCCTGTCCTGGGGAATGGGTCCAGACCTGCCCGTCGGCACGAGGTGAAAAAAAAAAAAACACGACGTCTGGGGTCTGGAGACGACGACGACCACGACGAGGACGACGGCGGCGACTGCAGCACTCGACGGCAGACGTCGACGTCGACGGCGACGGCGCTGCCGACGACGGCGGCAGCACAGTCCTCGTGCTGCCACAAGGAACGCCAGGGAAGGAACAGGGGGGCCGTTCTGGCCACGGCCGACCGCGGCCACAAGTAGGTTCGATTGCAAAAAAAACACAGGATTGCAAAAAAAAACGCTGGATTGCAAAAAAAACTGGGTTTGTTTTGCAATCCTGTTTTTGTTTTGCAATCCTGTTTTTTTGCAATCCTTCGGTTTTTTTTGCAATCCTTGTTTTTTTTTTTGCAATCCTTCGACCTAGGTCTGAGGGTGCGGCCCGAAAACCAGAGGCCGGCCCTCCTAGGCCAAGGGTGGTATTTACTCCAGCGCGTCGTGATTGTAACTCCAGTGGAGGCCAGTGCACAAGAAACCTTCCGCAAGGAACCCGGCCCTGAGGCCCCAGGACGTCCACTGATCTTTGGTGTCTGCACGTGGCGCTTTCCATAGCAGAGCCATCGAAACCCAAGAAACCCAGGGCACCCTGGGGGCAAGCAAGGTGTCTCTTGGCATGGGCCTCCACAGTTTGGGGTCCCCCCGGACTGCGTTGGGCACCACTTGGGCCGCCTCGGCGTGCGCTTGGGCTGTCAATGGGATCCCATCGGGGGCCCTCTTGGGCAGGCCTCTCGCGGTTCAGGGGCTCTCGTGGGCGATCCTGGAGAGCAGGCGGACTCAAGCAGCGAGGCCCCGAAGACAGTGGACAAAAGCACTGCAACATCAAAAGGTTGTGCTCTGCGGGGAGTTCGTGCAGTACTCGGGGGGTGCTCGTGGGGCGTCTTGAAGGCCTCTCGGGCCGTCTCGGGGCGACCTCTGGGGGGTCCGAGCGCTGTTTCGGAACGCTCGGAAGGCCTTCTGGGGTCGCCTTGGGGCCCTCCTGGGCCGTCTTGGGCGCGGTGAGGCCCTGCTCTGCGGGATCTTGGGCCGACTTGGGGCCCCCTCTGGGGCCCTCCTGGGCAATGCAGACACGGTTTCGAGGCTCGCTCGGGCCTTCGTGGAGCGTCGGCACCCTCAATCAGCAAGACCCGAAAAACAACTGAAACAACACAACACATGAAGAGATTGTGCTCTAAGGAAGGTCCGTGAAGTCCTCGTGGAGCGCTCTTTGGGCGTCTTTAGATGCCTCCAGAGGGGGTCCAAGCAGATGGGGTCGGAAGATCACGCCACATCGGCGACGGCGATGCATCGGCGACGTCGGCGAAGCTTCGGCGACGCCAGCGCGGAGAAAGTCGGGCTCCACGCGCTCCATATCGAGCCGCATCGGCGATGCATCGGCGATGCAGCACGATCCTCGGACCCCACATGTGGTTCTGGGCAAAAGGGGTCTTATGCACTGGAGTCGCAAAGAGACCATGCAATAGCTCATCCTGCGGCGCATGGCGCGCTGCAACCACGTGCTGATACTGCAGGGCGGGCGCATTCCGCACGAACGATTGCACGAACTCCCGCGCATATGTTTGAGATCCCCTTTGCAAAGGACCCGTTCGCCCGACTCCGACATCTACTCGGACACCCTCTATGGAAGAAGAAACAACACCATGAACAGAAATTTGTGGCGCACCGCGCGGATTTCTTGGATCCGCGCTAGAGTCCCCTCCCCCCCGGCGCGCGGAGCGCGCCAGGGGCGGCGCTGGACGCCCCGCCAGGGGGGCCCCAGCGCCGTTCCACGAAATCCAAGCGCACTGTCGCCAGTTTATGTCTATGGCGTTTCATCTTCATGGACTTTCGCCCGAATCCGACATCTACTCGGACACCATCTAGGATTAGGTCGGGCATATCCCCCTACAGGCGGATTTTGGACGAAAACTAACAGAAGGTTACAACATTCCAAAATAGCCAACAAAACGTCCCCAGACTATCTTTTATAGTATTTTTGAACACTCCTCCTGTGGAGGGACGTGCCCGACTCAGTGGAAGCCCCAGGGCCGTCTTGGAGCCACATCGGGGGGGCCGAACGCCGCTCTAGGCGGCCGACCGGGGCGCACCAGGTGCGCGCGGGCGGCCGCCTGGAGGCGTTCTGAAAGGCGATGGCCTCCCATGTCCAGTCGGGGGCCCCGGGCCGGACCCCCCAGCCTCGTCCCCCAGGGTGTATATTTATTTATTTATGTATTATTTATTTATACATATATATATATATATTGATGTAGACATCTACATTCACAGGCATATGCACACATTATGGCAGATTTCGGAAACCCTGTACCCAAAAACGTTATCATCTCTTGGGGACGCATGTTTCACTTCCGCCACCTTCCGCCGCCCTTCCGCCGGCTTCCGCCGGCAGAGGCGGCCTCGTTTTACGTCCGCCGAACTGCCGCCGCCCTTCCGCCGATGAAGAGAGGACAAATCGTTCGATTCTTGAAGGCACCACCCTTCCTGGAATGCCCCATATAGACGCAGAACTACAGATTTGCATTTTGAATTATGCATACAGTTGTACATCGATATTTATGTGTATGCGTAGTCGACGTGTACTTTCTCATCCTTTCCCTCCTTCTCTTCCTCCTCACCCTCTTTCTCCTCCTACTCCTCCTTCCCGTCTCTTCCCCCATCGTCATGTTCGCCGTCGTCCTCTCCTCCTCCTCCTCCCCGCCTTTTCTTCTCTAATCGCTTCCCACACGCACCACATCTTGGCCATCGCCGTCCTCCTCCCCCTGCTCCTCCGCTCCCGTTCCTCCCCCTTCTTGCCCCCCCTCGTCGTTGACACCCCAGGTCCAGCTCCCCGCCCATGGAACAAAAATGCGCACTGACGCTCAGCATGAGGCAAGCTGAACCTGAGGGAGACGAGTCCTGGACCCCAGTGCCGCCTCCAGGACAAACTCTTCATCCGGGCGCCCGCAATGAAAGACAGCCTCAGGACACGTTTCCCCCAGGACCCCGGTCTCCCCCATGGCATTAGGTCGGGCGTGTCCTCCTACAGGGGGATTTTGGACGAAGATGCACAAATAGTCAAAACATGTTCAAACATGCAAAAAAACAAAAACATATGCAAACATAGTCAAAACAACGATCGAAAAATCGTCCCCAGACTATTGTTTGACTTTTTCCCAACCATCCTGTGGTGTTGGGTCCTCGTTTTGAAGAGACGGTGCCCCGCGTTCCCGCCTCCTTCGTCCCTCCCTCCTCCCCCCTCCTCCCCACCCCACACCCATTTTGGCACACCCCTCACAAGTTTCGTGGCCCCATAGGGAGCTCCACCGAAGGCCCCAGTGGCTGCGTCCGCATGCGGATCCACCCCCCATTCTGGCACACCCCTCACACGTTTCGTGGCCCCATAGGGAGCTCCACCGAAGGCCCCAGTGGCTGCGCTCGCATGCGGTTCCACCCCCCATTTGGCACACCCCTCACACGTTTCGTGGCCCCATAGGGAGCTCCACCGAAGGCCCCAGTGGCTGCGTCCGCATGGCGGCGCCGCGCCCAATTTGGCACACCCCTCGCACGTTTCGTGGCCCCATAGGGAGCTCCACCGAAGGCCCCAATGGCTGCGTTCGCATGGCGGCGCCGCACCCAATGTGGCACACCCCTCACACGTTTCGTGGCCCCATAGGGAGCTCCACCGAAGGCCCCAGTGGCTGCGCTCGCATGGCGCGCCGCACCCAATTTGGCACACCCCTCACACGCTTCGTGGCCCCATAGGGAACTCCACCGAAGGCCCCAGTGGCTGCGCTCGCATGGCAGCGCCGCACCCAATTTGGCACACCCCTCACACGCTTCGTGGCCCCATAGGGAGCTCCACCGAAGGCCCCAGTGGCTGCGTTGGCATGGCGGCGCCGCACCCAATTTGGCACACCCCTTTCACGTTTCGTGGCCCCATAGGGAGCTCCACCGAAGGCCCCAGTGGCTGCGTTGGCATGGCAGCGCCGCACCCATTTCGGCACACCCCTCACACGTTTCGTGGCCCCATAGGGAGCTCCACCGAAGGCCCCAGTGGCTGCGTTCGCATGGCGGCGCCGCACCCATTTCGGCACACCCCTTACACGCTTCGTGGCCCCATACGGAGCTCCACCGAAGCTCCCAGTGGCTGCGTTGGCATGGCGGCGCCGCGCCGAAGAAGATGTTCCTTGTTGCGGTACTCACAGCTGCATATGGTTGGGTCCTTCGCCAGGCTAATTAAAATGTTCCTCCAGTAGAAGGACACGCCCGACTTAACCATGGCACTGACGTGCGCGCATCCGCTGCAGGCGCATGAAAGGAGCCGGCCGCCTGATTTCGACTGCAGCGCAGCCGGCGTCGCCGACGGCCGTGGTCTCCGAGGGACGCGCCTCCGCCTGCGGCGGGCGCTGCCGACGGGATAGCCAGAGAGCCCCAAGACCAGCGGCGGAGTGGTGTCGCATTGCTCAGGGTCTGGGAGTCGATGCTTCTTTGAAAGAGCCTTGGGACACACAACAAATAGACAGGACTCCCTATGTTTTACCACATCTCTCTCTCTCTCTCTCTATATATATATATGTGTATATACATATGTATTCTATCGGGTGCACTTACACCTGGTGGTTCTCTAGTCGATGGTCCTGGCCGTCATCGACGTTCGTAGTAGGTGTTCTGTTGCTCCTTACTGGTGATGTTTGTTGGTGGTAGTAGGTCGGTGGGCGGTTCTTGTTCGTGCTAGGTGGTCTCCGGTGGTAGGTGTGCTAGGTAGTGTTACGTGGTTCGTGCTCGTCCTAGCAGCAGTGCCACAGAGTGTACATCTCGTACACGAGGCGCTGTGGCTCGTGACTAGCTCGTTGCGGCTCGGCAGTCTGAGGAGCTCGTAGGCGGCAGTGTGTCCTAGCCTAGATGCTGGGTGGCCCATGTCAGAGAGCAGCCAGTGGCAGTAGTTCCTTGCGTATGCATATTTTTATCATGTCGTCCACTACCAAACATCACTGTGCTGGTTGGTATTGTTTTCTGACTCATTCCTGCAATTCGTTCATGCTGCAATGACTACCTTCCAGACCACCCCAACCCAACCCGAAGACCCGAATTTCGGGTTGGGGGGGGTAAGGGTTCCACATGTGTTTTTTCGATGTTTCCCGACCCCCCCCCCACTGGAAATCGAGGGTAAATCTGAGCCTTCGCGTTGGGTTGGGGTGGTTTGGTGGGTGGTGATGCAAAGAAGAGCACAATCTCTTTGGGCCTCTCGTTCGAGACTCCCCCTCATGCTGTGGGGCCTTCTCGCTCCCTCACCCTCCCCTCTCCCTCGACCGAACCCACCCACCCCCTCCCTCTCCCTCCCCCTCCCCCTCAGAGGCCCTCCCGTTTCCCTCCCCCTCCCCCTCAGAGGCGCCAAGGAAGCCCTCTAGAAGCCCTTCAGTGGCAAGCCAGGGAAGCCCTCTAGAAGCCCTTAAGAGGCCTCTCCCTCCCACTCTCTCTCTCTCTCTCTTTCTGCAGCCGTTTTTGCCCAGGTGCTCCCAGCGTGCCATTTTGGCATGCCCAGGTGCGACTACTGCAGGTCTCCTTGTGGCTGGCACCCGTTCCCTGGGCTGCAACGCAGCTCTTCCGTGATGAGTTGCCTCCCTTGCCGGTTCGACCCCGATCTTGACTGGGAGGTCGACAACGTACGAGGACGACCCAATGACGGACTGGTTGTCCGACGAGGGGGACAGCGACGGTCTTGGGCCCTACGAGTACGAGACCGGGGAGATCGAGGAGGACAGCATCGTGTCGGACACGGAGCTCGACAGCGACTCTGAGCCAGAGGGCCCCCTGGACGAGCCAGAGCCAGAGCCCGAGCCAGCCTCTGCTAAGAGGCCCCGCTTGCAGTGATACCGAAGCTTCATCAGGCTCAGAAGCCCAAGCTTCAGCAGGCTCAGAAGCCCAATCTTCAGCAGGCTCAGCAGCGAGTGTGCCAGCACTGCGGCGAGGCTGGCCACAACCTCAGGAGTTGCCCCAAGCTCGCCCAGCAGCTCCTCCGAAGCGTGCAGAAGGCCCACTCCCCTGGCGGCGTGGTCGACGCGCTCAAGTCCATCCACCGCAAGGCGCACAAGCTGCAGCGCAAGGTGCAAATTCATCCACCGCAAGGTGACTGGGATATAGACGAAGTTCATCCCCCCGCGCCCCAGCAGAACCCCCAGAACTCCCTCGTCCCCCAATGGGGGCACAGATTTGGGGGTCGCGGGCCTGTGTATATACACATTTATATATATAGGTTTATATAAATTTTTATATTTAAAGCGAGAGAGAGATAAATATATCCATGCACATACAAACATATTTACATACCCGAATCCATCCATATATATCCATACCTACATACAAACATATACAATTACATGCATACATACATACATACATACAAACATACATACAAACATACAAACATACATACATACATACATACATACATACATACATACATACACACATACATACATACAGGCATGTATACGTACATACATACACACACATCCAGGCATACAAACATAGACACATACACACATACATACATGCACACACAACAATCAAGTCGGATACACACATAAACACCTAACACATAAAACAACACCATAACGTTGGTACATGCATGCGAAACTGACTACAGGCAATACTACGTAAGTGGACAACTCCAAACCTGTCAGATGAATGACTACATGAATACATAAACACATTAACACATACATCAAAACATATGTGAATTCAAAATGCCTGAAAACACATACAAACAAACACACATACATCCAGGTACATATGTACACCGACCGTTTAAGACGTCTGTATGTATACCTACACATACACATGCACATTCATATACGTATCCACAAGCATAGACGTGCATATACCTATGCATATGCACATACATATATGCATATGAATGTGCATGTACACTTACATTTAGATACGCACATCCAAACACATTATACAGTATACATGTTATATGTATACATTCTTTGCCATACACTAAACATACACATATACACACCAATATATATATATATATATATATATATATCCGTACAGAAAAGCGTATACACATACTTATCCACATATACATACTTACATTACACAAAAACCTATGCGTGTGCAGACGCCTCAACCACGCTGGGATCAGAAACGATGCCCACTGCAGATCATCCTTGCATGTAGGTGTTGGGTTTCGATGGACTGGCCATGGTCGTTTTGATGGAGCCCGTTTTTGTTGTTCGCGATAACGCCCGTGACCGGCCCCACCCCCACCGTCCCTCCCCCCCTTGGTCACGTCACGATTCGTGCGGCGCCGTGTACGAATTAGCCATCGCAGCACATTTCCAGACGGCGCCGGCGCGAATCGTGACGTGGCCGCCCCCCCCCCCCCCCGTGACGTGGCCGCCCCCCACCCCCCCCCTCCCTCCCCTCGGTCACGCCCGCTTCGCCAGGGGACAAGGAAAAGCGGTCTCATGGCATCCGCACAGGGGGAAAGGGGAGATGCGAGGCGGCGGGCCTGGCTGGTCAGCCAGAGTGGCAGCGCCACCTCTTCTGTGGTGCTTTGACAAGTGCACACGCCTGGTCCACGCTCGGACTAAACCCAATCCCCACTGCAGATCCACTGCGATTGTGGGGCATAGGTGCATAGGTGTCAGGATTGCTCATGGCATCCGCAATGGTAGCAGCGGAGGAGACATGGGAGGCGGCGGGCGCGGCTGGTCAGCCGGAATGGCAGCGCCACTTCTTCTGTGGGGCCTTGACCAATGAGCACGCTCGGGCCACGCTCGGACTAGTATGGTTCCCACAAAACGGCTTGCTTATCGATGTGTGTATGTATATGTGTAGATATACACATAATCCAAGATGGTCCCAAGATGGACACTTGGGTCCATCTTGGGGCCATCTTGGACCATCTTGGCGGCCTTCAGGGCCGTCTTCAGGCCATCCGAGGTCGTTTTGGAGCCGTCTTGGGAGCCTCTGGAGCGCTCTTTAAGCTATCATCGAGGCGTCTGCGGTTCCTCGTGGAAGCATCTTGGGAGTTCGTTTGGATCTCGCGGCAAGTCTTTCGGGGGGGTCCTTGAAGCAGTTCCGAAGCCTATTGGCATCTAGGTGACCCTGGGGGCCTCCCAGAAGCTTGTGGGGGCCTCCTGGGGGCCTCTTGGGGCCGAGGGCTCGAAAAACACGGTCGGATCCCTCGTCTGGGCCACTTCTTAGAATTGTTTTGGGGCCGTCTTGGGTCGTCTTGGAAGCCTCTTGGGCCGTCTTGGGGCCCTGTCAGGCCATTTCGGGGCCGTCTTGGAGGCCTCTTCGGTCGTCTTGCAGCGTCGGGAAGCCGAACATGCGAGAACCCAAAAAACCTCAAATAACCATCGAACCAAAAAACTTGTCGTTCATTTCTGCCCTCTTAGGAAGCCTCTTGGAAGCTCAGGGCGTCTTTGAGGACTCTTGGGCCGTGTTGGGGCCATATTGGGTTTTTCGGCGCGATCTTTGGCCGTCTCGGGGCTCTTTTGGACCATCTTAGGGGCCTCCTGGGGCCGTCTTGGAAGGCTTTTGGGCGCCTTGAGGCCCCTTGGAACGACCCACCCACGACCCACCTGGGACCCACCCGCGACCCGGCCCGCGACCCACCCACATTGCTTTAACCAAAAAACGGCACCTTCGGCAAGCTCGCTGCATAATTTAAAACATTGGCGCCTGCGGCGGATTTCGTCAGAGCCTCGCAAACTGCAGACGTCCTCGCCGCCCCCTCACTCTTGTCCGCGACTGCGGGGCGCTACGTATAAATAGAGCCGTACTGGCCCCCCCCCGGGGTGACAAAGGATCGGCGGCTCAAAGACCCAAACATTCGAGGATCTGACTTTTCCCAACCATCCTGTGGTGTTGGGTCTTCATTTTGAACAGACGTCGCCCCGCGTTCCTCACCTCCTTCTCTCCTCATCCTCCTCCTCCCCCTTCCTCTCTCCTCCCGTCATCCCCATCATCGTCATCATCATCACCACAATCCGCGTCATCTACTCGTCATCATCATCATCATCCTCATCATCAGGACGACCGTCATAACCACCAACATCATCACCCATGCCGGCACACCCCTCACACGCTTCGTGGCCCCATAGGGGGCTCCACACAAGGCCCCAATGCCACCGCCCGCATGCGCCCCCCACACCCATGTCGGCACACCCCTTACAAATTTCGTGGCCCCATAGGGAACTCCACGGAAGGCCCCAGTGCCACCGCCCGCACGCGTACCCCACATCCCTTTCGGCACACCCCGCACGCGTTCCGTGGCCCCATAGGGAACTCCACGGAAGGCCCTAGTGCCACCGCCCGCATGCGCCCCCCACACCCATTCCGGCACACCCCTCATACGTTTCGTGGCCCCATACGG